CAAGGGCATAAAATTTGGGGCAAAGGGGAGGTTTGAGAGACTCACTTTTTTTTTTTTTTTTTGAGACAGGGCTTTGCTCTGTTACCCAGGCTGGAGTGCAGTGGTGTGATCATAGCTCACTGTAGCCTCAACCTCCTGGGCTCAGCTCAAGGGATCCTCCCACCTCAGCCTCCCCAATAACTGAGACTAGGCACATGCTACCATGCCTGGATTTTTTAGAGACGGGGTCTTGCTGTGTTGCCCAGGCTGAGACTCATGTCTTAATTCTGGATATTTCTATACTGCTTAAAAGTTTATACCAAGTGTGTTCTATATTTGTAGTAATACAATGAATTAATATGAAAATAAGATGATGTAGTAAATGGAAGGCAATGGCCTAGCAATCATAAGGTCTGGGGCCTCACCCTAGACTGGCCACTAAATTACATGACTCTCGGTTGGGTGCAGTGGCTCATGCCTGTAATACCAGCACTTTGGGAAGCCGAGGCAGGCGGATCATGAGGTCAGGAGTTCGAAACCAGCCTGGCCATGGTGAAACCCTATCTCTACTAAAAATATAAAAATTAGTCGGCATGGTGGTGCATGTCTGTAATCCCAGCTACTTGGGAGGCTGAGGTAGGAGAATTGCTTGAACCCAGGAGGTGGAGGTTGCAGTGAGCCAAGATTGCGCCATTGCACTCCCGCTCTGGGCAACAGAGCAAGACTCCATCTCAGAAAAAAACAAATAAATTACTTGACCATGAATGTGTTCCATCCTCTCACCAACCTTCAATTTCACCTCCACTGGTGAAGCAGATTGGACCAAGCCATGTTGAGGCTCCTCCCAGTGTACAGGATGATGATTCTCTGAATAAGGTTTTCTCAACATGAGCTAGTCGGTTGGCAACCAAGCTTGAGCCCCTGAAATCCTGCCTTCCTGCTGAACTGGAACAAGATTTCCCTCTACCCTGGGAAGAAACAAGCCAGAAAATGCTCTTCCTGGCCTAAGGGCGGGCGGGAGGCATCTACCATTCTAATGAGGAGCTGAGTCCCGTATTTACAGGTGAGGCCATTCCACATACATTCCAGCCGGAACAATTCAGGGTACCTAGGAGAGGTGTCTGTGTAGCAGGAGATGCAGACCTGGCTAGCTGAACGTTGGCCCTCTAGGCTTCCTTCCCGGCTCCCTGCTCAGGCCAAACACTTCCTAGGTCAACACCATCCCCTTAGTCATACCCCAGTGGGCTGCCATTCACCCAGGCCAAATACTTCCTAGGTCAACACCATCCCCTTAGTCATACCTCAGTGGGCTGCCATTCACCCAGGCCAAACACTTCCTATGTCAACACCATCCCCTTAGTTATACCTCAATGGGCTGCCATTCGCCCAGGACAAACACATGCAGCATGTTCACATCGGGATCCTTGTGGAAGATGTTAGGCTTGGCGTGGTGCTGGAAGTGGCGATGATTCCACCAGTTGGCAGAGGCACCCTGTGGGGAGAGAGGGGTTGGGATGACCCATGCAGGCCACCAGAGAACCAAGCTCACCTGTGACAGGCCCTGCTTATGAGCAGTTCCCAGCACCTTCAACCCTCAGGGACAGCATCTCAGGCCCCCACAAGGTCAGAATCCAGCCCTGCCATGACTGAGCTCAGAGCATGGGCCAGCCCCAGATGGAGTGAAGTCACTTTATCTCTCTAGGCTTCAGTTTCCCCGATCATAAGACAATGATGGCGGGTGAGGCATGCTGCTGTGGGACCACATAATGAACGCTCCAGCAGGTGTGGGAGCTGGTCTCTGCCTCTCCGCCACCAGGTGTGGAGCCAGAGCTGTGCAAGGTGAAGCTGGGGTTTCAGGGATAGAGAGAACTGGTCCCTGCTATGTGGCCCAGAAATCTCCCTCCTGAGTGTATATCCAAGAGAAATGAAAACATGTCCACACACTAACTCATAGAGGAGGTTCATAGCAGCATTCTTCAAAAGAACCAGAAGAGCAAAAACAACACAAGTGTCCATCAACAGATGAGTGGGTGAATGAAGTGCAGATTAGCCACACAATGGAATACTGTTTGGCTGTGCCATAAAACAGAACGAATCACTGACACTTGCTACAACACGGATGAGCCTGGAAAACATGCTAAGGGAAGGAAGGAGCCACAAAAGACCACATATCACATGATTCCACTGACATGAAATGTCCAGAATAGGCAAATCTATAGAGACAGAAAGTTGAGCAGTTGTGTAGGGCTAGGATTGGGGTAGGGGAGGGAGTGAGAGGGTTGGGATGTGATGGCTAAGAAACCTGGGATTTCTTTTGAGCATAGTGAAGACGCTCTAGAATTGACTATGACAATGGTTGCATAAATCCGTGAATATACTAAAAAGTCATTGATTTGTCTACTTTAAATGGGAACACTGGCTGGGCGCAGTGGCTCACACCTGTAATCCCAGCACTTTGGGAGGCAGAGGCGGGTGGATGACTTGAGGTCAGGAGTTAAAAAGAACAGCCTGGGCAACATGGTGAAACCCCGTCCCTACTAAAAATACAAAAATTAGCCGGGTGTGGTTGTAGGCGCCTGTAATCCCAGCTACTCGGCAGGCTGAGGCAGGAGAATCACTTGAACTGGGGAGGCAGAGATCATACCACTGCACTCCAGCCTGAGCGACAGAGGAACGGGATAACTGTATCTCAATAAAGCATTTGGAGATTGCAGTTGTGCTGCTATGCTGAGGGTGGGTCCTGAGATTCATGTCACACCAGGAAGGCTGGAGGGAGGGCTTAACAAAAAACTGCTAACATGAACAAAAAGAACTTTCCTGTTTCTAATACTCAAATAGGATCCCATGAGACAAGATGCATAACATGGATATTTCTTTTGAGGCTGCAGATTTCCATCTCCTCAGCTCAGAGGCATGGCCCTCAGCAGTTGCCCAGCGACAGATGAAAGAAAACACACTTTCCTGACCCTTTAGCATCACGACTATTCTGGTGAGCTCTTGCCAGATCAATGCTTTGGCTAAGGGTCTGCAAAAAATGCCTATCTGCTAAACAAACATTTCACTTGGGAGATGCTTTTGGCACAAACACGGTCTATGGACAAATAGCCATGGGTGGGAACAGCAATGGACAGCTGCGACCTTTGCAGTGACCTCAGGCCCCTGGAAACAGGCGGGCCTCAAATCCCATGAGAGAGAGAGAGAAAAAAAAAAAAAAAAAAAAGTCAGAGTGAAAGCTTAGAGTCTTCACTTTGGGAGGCCGAGGTGGGTGGATCACTTGAGGTCAGGAGTTCCAGACCAGCCTGGCCAACATGGAGAAACCATCTCTACTAAAACTACAAAAATTATCTGGGTGTGGTGGCGGGCACCTGTAATCCCAACTACTCAGGAGTCTGAGGCAGGAGAATCCTGTGAACCCAGGAGGCAGAGGGTGCAGTGAGCCAAGATCGCACCAACGGCACTTTAGCCTGGGCAACAGAGCAAGAGTCCGTCTCAAAAAAAAGAAAAAAAAAAAAGAAAGAAAGAAAAAGAAAGCTTAGAGGCTTGAGGAATCAAATGACGCATTTGTGTTTGTTGTCAAAAGGAACAAAATTCCTGGGAAGAATCAAATGGAAAAATCTCTGGCACAAAGAAACCGAAGAGCAAGGCACGAAACGAGCAAGCTTGATGTTTGGAGGATACCAACCCAGAGATGTTTATTGAGCAAATAGATGGAGGAAAGCAAGACGGGCCGACAACAAGGAGCCAGTGAGGTGGGGCAGTCCCGGCTCTCCCTGGACTCGGGATGAGATGTAATGAAAGCATTTTTTGTTCATGCTACTCCTCTGCTGTGATTCTCTTCCATTCTTTTTTTTATTTTGAGATGGAGTTTTGCTCTTGTCGCCCAGGCTGGAGTGCAGTGGTACCATCTCACCTCACTGCAACCTCCGCCTCCCAGGTTCAAGCGATTCTCCCACCTCAGCCTTCCGAGTAGCTGGGATTACAGGCGCCCGCCACCATGCCCGGCTAATTTTTGTAGTTTTAGTAGAGATGGAGTTTCACCATGTTGGCCAGCCTGGTCTCGAACTCCTGAACCCAGGTGATCCACCCACCTCGGCCTCCCAAAGTGCTGGGATTACAGGCGTGAGCCACCGCACCCGGCTTCTCTTCCATTCTTCTTCGCCAGGTGAAGCCCTGCTTGTTCTTCAAGAGCCCCTCCTTCCGAGCACCGGGAAGCCCCCCTTGTCCTGGAACAATGGCCAGCTCCTAGTTTCCAGAATGTGGTGCAGATATTGCCTACCCTAAGCCAGCTGCCATGCTCTGCCTGGGAGGTGAACCAAGAGACAAAGCTCTTGTCCTCAGGGAGCTGCGAGGGAGGGTCTGGCGTCATCACACCAAATCCAAACTGAGCTGGAGCCAGGAAAGCTAAGTGTCCACGCAGCTGGAGAAGTTGGCCAGGCAGAGTGAGGGGTGCTTTCCTGACAGAGGGAAGAGCCTAGGGGAGGCCCTGGGAGGGGAAGGGGGAGTGTGGAATGTTCCAGAAGCCAGAGGAAAGCTCCTTGGTATAACTGTGACCAGCAGTGCTAGGCGGAGCCATATCAGAGACTGAGGCAAAAAAAAAAAAAAAAAAAAATGCACTCCTGGCTTTAATGGAAGCAAATTCATCGATAATATTTTCAAAGTCTACTTTTTGCCTCATTTCATTTTCTTCTTTTCTTTTTTTTTTTTTGAGATGGAGTCTGGCTCTGTCGCCCAGCCTAGAGTGCAGTGGTGCGGTCTCAGCTCACTGCAACCTCTACCTCCCGGGTTCAAGTATTCTCCTGCCTCAGCCTCCCGAGCAGCTGGGACTACAGGCCACCGCGCCTGGCCTCATTTCATTTTCAGCAGAAAGAATTGCTGAGTTTGATGGTTTCCGTTAACCAAGCGATTAGCTTAAATAATTTTTAATTTTATTTTTAATTTTTGAGATAGAGCCTCACTCTGTTGCCCAGGCTGGAGCGCAGTGGCACAATCTCTGCTCACTGCAACCTCCACCTCCCTGGTTCAAGTGATTCTCCTGTCTCAGCCTCCCAAGCACCGGGATTACAGGCGCGCCATCTCACCTGGCTAATTTGTGCATTTTTAGTAGAGACAGGGTTTCACCATGTTGGCCAGGCTGGTCTCGAACTCCTGACCTTAAGTGATCTACCTGCCTCAGCCTCCCAAAGTGCTGGGATTACAGGCTTGAGCCACCACACCCGGCCGAGCCAACGCACCCAGCCTTAACTGATTTTTGATTACATTCAAATGAAGCAAAAGTATAATAAACTCTGTTTTGGTATAAATAAAGCATTTACACTTAGAATGTTATGACTTTTAATACGTCAACTTCTTCATTGTTAAATATTTTTTCAACTACTTTAATGCTCTGGAAAAAAAACCATCCATTAAAAATTGACACACGAACATGTATAGAGGGGTGCATGCTTTTCCATTTGCCTCAGTTCATCCTGATCTTTATTTAAAATTTTGATATTTTCTTCATTGTGGATTGTTTTTGCATTAATTTTGTTTTTTTAAAAAAACAAATTGCAGGCCGGGCACCGTGGCTCATGCCTGTAATCTCAGCACTTTGGGAGGCTGAGGCAAGTGGATCACCTTAGGTCAGGAGTTCAAGACCAGTCTGGCCAACATGGGGAAACCCTGTCTCTACTGAATATACAAAAAAATTAGCTGGGCGTGGTGGCACACACCTGTAATCCCAGCTACTTGGGAGGCTGAGGCAGGAGAATCGCTTGAACCTGGGAGACGGAGGTTTCAGTGAGCTGAGATCACACCATTGCACTCCAGCCTGGGTGACAAGAGTGAAACTCCATCTCAAAAAATAAAACCAAACCACGTTGCATTAAAACATCATTTTTCTTGAAAACTGAATTTGTCTGGTGTCCCGTTAGATTTTATACCCTAGGCGAATGTCTTACTTGCTTTACTCTAATCCTGGCCCTGGTGGCCTGAGATGAGGCTGCAGAAAGGCTGGTGATGTCCATTACAGATGCAGCGCCCAGATGGCACTGGGCCTTTCAGCTTGCATTTGTTTATTTAGAGACAGCGTCTCACTCTGTCATCCACACTGGAGTGCAGTGGTACCATCACAGCTCACTGCAGCCTTCAAATCCCAGGCTCAAGCCATCCTCCCACCTCAGCCGCCCCAGTAGCTGGGACTACAAGCATGCACCACCACCCCTGGCTAATTTTTTTATTTTTAGTAGAGACAGGGTCTTGCTATGTGGCCCAGGCTGGTCACAAACTCCTGGCTTCAAGTGATCCTCCCGCCTTGATCTCCCAAAGCGCTGAGGTTATAGGCGTGAGCCACTGTGCCTGGTCGAAGTTTGCATTTTATCCTAAGTACAGTGCTGAACTATGAAAGAGTTTTAACCTCAAAATAATCTTTGTAAAAGATCACACTCTGGAAGAAATGTCTGCTGGGCGTGACACGGGCTGAAGGCAAACAGAAGGTCAGGATGTGGAGAACTCCCATGAAATCCCATTAGCAGTGCAGCTAACAGGAAGAAGGGGGTCCCAGCCTCTCACAGCCCCTGGTAACCTACTTACAGGTCTCTCCAGCTTGTGATAAGACATCTGAGTTGGCAAGGCCCTGGAGGACCTCCCTGCAGCCAGTTCCCTTTTTCCCAGTGATGGGAAGAGACACAGACCTACAAGATTCTTCTCCATGGTTGTGCACCTGCTGAGTGTTGGAGCCAATTTTGAGCAAGCTTGACCTCCCTACTCTGGGGCACCCCTGAGTGAGCCGCATGTCCATGTCCTTGGCCTGGCTCTGTGACACAGCACCAAGGACATAGCCAGTGGGGGCTGCGGGCCATGAGTGGAGCCCACATCCCCAAACCCAAGGACCCTATTTGCTGTCATCCACGTTCTACCTAGAGACCAGTCCTCTCTCCTGGCCCCATCTCCCGCCTGACGCAAGAGCTGTGCTCTGGGTCCCCTCAAGGACCGAGGGCCATTGGATAGGAACGGTCCCCCCTGCCTGGCCCCTGCCCAGAATCTGGAAGCAGGACACAGCCCATCTTTGTTAAGTGTGTGAGGGCTAACGTGGGTCAGGAGTTAAATGTTACTTTGCCATACTGAGGAGGGTTTGATCCAACAGAGAAGAGTATAAAATGAAACAAAGCACTGCACTATGTGCACCCTCTCTCTTTGCCCCTGAGATTCTGGACAGAGACCAGGTTCTCAGGCCACTTCAGGCTCAGGGCCAGGCAAGCTGCTCGCTGCGAAACTGGTGACCAGCTCAGGGGTGGTTGGCCGCCAATGGGATCTGCAGTTGGCAAGCCAAGGGCCCCGTTGTGGTCTGGGTGGAAGAGGGGATCAGCTACACTCGACATGTAGCTGTTCCCTTGCCAGGGTGTGGAGGGATGGAGTCTTTAGGACCCCGCTTTTCTCAGGAAGCAGGTACTGTTGGGTTGGGTTGGGATGGGGACGGTCTATTTCAGAGAGCAAGTCGGCAAAGACTCATTTTCAAAACTGAGGAGATAATGCCTATCAGATCAGAACAAGGCCATTGGCAATTCCAGCTCGTCTTTCTACAAACGTGCTGAGCCTCTGTGGTCTGCTTCCTCATCTAGGGGGAGGTGAGAGTGGAACTTCCTTAACTCCTGCGCTTCTAACGGCTTTTGTCCTTTGGGCCAGTTGATCATTCCATAGTTTGGTGTCCCCTATCTGAGGCCTTATAGGATGACATTTACTTTTTGTACCACGCTTATTTCCAAAGAGTATTTGAAGTGGCTTAACATAAAGGACTCATATATAACAGAAGGCTAAAATAAAGATAAAAGCATAAATGCCAGATGAGGAAGGAAAGAATGGGTGCACCAAAAACACAGACTAAAGATAGTTGCTGTTTCAAATGCTGCTTTGTACCTCTTGGCTTCTGAGGGGAAGAGAGGAACATAATGTGTTTCTTTTTTTTTTTTTTTTTTAAGAGATGGGGGTCTCACTATGTTGCCCAGGCTGGTCTCAAACTCCTGGGCTCAGGCAATTCTCCTGCCTCAGCCTCCTGGGTGGCTAGGATTATAGGTGTGTACCACTAGACCCAGCACAATGTATTAAAGAGCTCATATCCCCAGTGAAAGGAAGCATACCAACTCATCAAAAGAGACTGCTACTGGCTGGACACGGTGGCTCACGCCTGTGATCCCAGCACTTTGGGAGACCAAGGCAGGTGGATCACAAGGTCAGGAGTTCGAGACCGGCCTGGCCAACATGGCAAAACTCCATCTCTACTAAAAATACAAAAATTAGTTGTATATGGTGGCAGGTGCCTGTAATCCCAGCTACTCGGGAGGCTGAGGCAGGAGAATTGCTTGAACCTGGAGGTGGAGGTTGCAGTGAGCCAAGATCACACCATCGCACTCCAGCTTGGGTGACAAAAGCAGGACTCTGTCTCAAAAAAAAAAACAAAAAAACAACTGCTACTTTACTGTCCCTAAATGAAAACAGATTTGTTAGATGAGTCCTTAGCTAAGGAACATCAAACAATACAACCCGCTGAGCCAACAGACAAGAAAGGGTGTGCCTGTCTTCACAGTGAGCAGTACACTGTGTCTTCATGGGTCGGAACTGATCCAGAGACGGGGCTCAGGAAGCCAGCAGAATAGAGAGTCACCATGGCCCACAGCATAGGCACACCTGCCTTGTCACCCTGTAGCCTCAGAGCACTGAGCAGAGAGGAATCCTGGTCCCTCTGTCTCAACTGCTGTCCAACAGGACAGATGCCCAGGGCTGCTGACATTTACCTTTAAGTGGCCAATGACGAACTTGTGGACAAGGTGGTTCCACTTGGGTTTCCTGTAGACAGACAGGTGGCCATAGTCGTGTTGCAGCCATCCAGCTTGGGCCTGGGGAGACAGGGTCACACAAGCTGTCACAGCCTCAGCAAACAGGCACCAGGCCTCTGTCAGCTGGGAGAGGTGAGGGTGTCACGCCTCACCTGAGAGGTAGCAAGGACAAAGGCCGTGATGAGGGTAGGAATCCAGCCATTGCCAAAGTAAAAGACGGTGAACCACGCGATGCTCTCCAAGGCAATGATGTGGGCCAGGAGGAGGAGGAAGAACACGTGGTTGGTCTTGAACAGGTTCATGTCCTCAGCTGTCTTCTTCAGGGCCCGGAAGTCCTCAATGATCTTTGACTGTTGACCAAGAGCACAGGGAAAGGATTCAGCCACCAGCCACTCTGGAGGGAACATATGTCTCGGGCTGCCATTTCAACAGCCAATGGACAACCCAGAGAAGCTGTGGCAAGAGGGGCCAAGCCACAAGCCTCCACCCTGCAGGAGTCCCTACAATAGGTGCTGTTGCCACATGCCCCACACAGCCCTGGGCCCTGTATATTTGTCACAGCTAGGTAAGAGTGACAGAAAAAGGCTTTGACTCAAAAGCTTGCATTTTGTACACCCTGTGTTCATAGCAGCTCTATTCACATGGGAAAAAAGGTAGAAACAACTCGAAGATCTCATGACGAATGAATGGATCCACAACACCTGGTCTATCCATGCAATGGAATATTACTCAGCCTTGAAAAGGGAGGAAATTCTGACACATGCTACAATGTGGGTGAACTTTGAAGACATCATGCTAAGGGAAACAGGCCAGTCACCAAAGGACAAATATTGTATGATTCCATATACAGGAGGTCCTTGGAGAGGTCAAATTCAGAGACAGAAAGTAGAATGGTGCCTGCCAGGGGCTGAGGGGTGGGAGAATGAGGAGTGAGTGTTTAATGGATGTGGAATTTCAATTTGGAGAAGATGAGAACTGATGGCGGTGATGGTTACCTAACAATGTAAATGTGCTTATTTAATGCCACTGAACTGTGCACTTCAAATGACTAAAATGGTTAACCACACTTTTTTAAAAAAGAAAAGTTTAATCCCAGCACTTTGGGTGGCCGAGGCGGGCAGATCACCTGAGGTCAGGAGTTTGAGACCAGCCTGGTCAACACGGTGAAACCCCATCTCTACTAAAAATACAAAAATTAGCCAGGCGTGGTGATAGG